ACATTCTGCTTCTCCAATTTTTCTGGCTTTCAGTGTATAAACCTACATGGCCATTTATCACCCTCTTATTAAAAATAATTCAGTATCACACATCATGCTTAAAAGCTCTGGCATAGTGGTCTCTAACCTTTTAGTAGAAACTATTTTAAATTTCCCTGAAGTACTGTAGTTTACAAGAAGGCAGGAAATGATAGCACTCACAACAGGATTTTATCACTACACTGCCTAAGAGCAGAGATCATATCTAAAATCTAATGCCCAGCACAATGCCTAACATGTCATAGAGGCATAATAAATATTAAAATATAAGAAACTATCTATTAGGTAGTTCAAGCAAAATGACAAGAAGGGGACCAACCATGGGCAGGAACCAGGTTCATCACATAAAAAAACTAGGCTTAAGGGGCTGCTATGTATCTCAATATTGGCTCAAGCCCCTAAAAACATGCTTTGGATCAGAGCTTCACAAACTTTAACATGCATGACAATTCATCCTGGGATCTTGCCAAAATGCAGATTCTGATTCAGTGGTTCTAGGGTAACGCCTGAGATTTTGCATTTCTAACAAGTGATTCTAACAAGTGATACAAATGCTGCTGATGTGGGAACTACATTTTCTGAGGACTGAAAAGGTGTTAGATAACGTATTTCAATAATACTCAAAACATCTCAACTCACAGATTACCTCAAATATTACCATTTCAATATTTAATGTCTTCACTAAAAGCAATCCTATATATTACACTCAATCACTTTTCAGAGCTTCAGATTCCATATAAACTATAACTAGTCTTCAATCCATTTGCCATAGGTATAAGAATAAATTTTGGTGAAAAATGCTGATGGTTTAGGATGAAAGACAAAGTACAATAAGTTTATAATTACTTAAATCAGTGTATGCAGCTTGCTCATCACCAAGAGATTTATCTTTCTTTCATAAATATTTACTCAATACTTAGAAGTCTGTGTGCTTTTTAGTTATATAGGAAAACCTTACATTCCTACCTTTTTTACTTGAAACTAAAAGAAAACACATGGATATGTCAACTCTTGTAGAAATTCAAAAGTATTTTTCTATAAAACTCTACCAAGGACTAGGCAAAGAGATAAAATTTATGTTCCCAAACCTGTTTATATAGTTAATTGTGTTTATGCTGTGCTTGGCAATTTCCTTATCGAGATAATTAAATGTTTCAACATTAGTTACCTCATCAAAGAGGTAATGACCAACATAAAAATATATGTTACTCTCAATTAACTCTGATTATTTAAAACTTTTGTTTATACAATGGATTTAGCCAGCCTGGACACAATGTGCGCTATGAAAAGTTAAACCCAATTGACTTTTGCTAGAAATGTTTCTTATATGCTGACACAGAGGGATTATGTTGTTTGTGAACAGATACGTTTTATTTAAAACTACCTGCTTGATGGTGGGGCACACCTGTAATCCCAGCACTTTGGGAGGCTGAGGTGGGTGGGTCATCTGAGGTCAGGAGTTTGGGACCAGTCTGGCCAATATGGTGAAACCCCGTCTCTACTAAAAATACAAAAATTAGCCAGGCATGGTGGCGCACACCTGTAATCCCAGCTACTCAGGAGGCTGAGGTAGGAGAATTGCTTGAACCTGGGAGGTGGAGGTAGTAGTGAGCTGAAATCACGCCACTGCACTTCAGCCCGGGTGACAGAGCAAGACTCCGTCTCAAAATAAAAAAAACAACTATGTCCTGCCAGGCGCAATGGCTCACGCCTGTAATCCCAGCACTTTGGGACGCTGAGAAAACACTCATTTGTAAACAAGAAAACTTTATTAATTCATTGAACAAAGTCCTCAGTCACAAAACAAGGTAAAGAGATCACAAGGTCAAGAGATCAAGACCATCCTGGCCAACATGGTGAAACCCCATCTCTACAAAAAACACAAAAACTAGCCAGGCGTGGGGGCGCATGCATGTAGTCCCAGCCACTTGGGAGGCTGAGGCAAGAGAATAGCTTGAAGCTGGGAGGCAGAGGTTGCAGTGAGCTGAGACCGCGCCACTGAGATCACCAGCCTGGTGAGAGCAAGACTCCATCCCCAGAAAAAAAAAAACAAAAAAAACGATGCGCTTATTGCTTAGTCTTCATTTGTAAACAAGAAAACTTTATTAATTCATTGAACAAAGTCCTCAGTCACAAAACAAGGTAAAGATAAAATATCCTCTTAGAATTCAAATTGGAAACCATGGTTATCTTAGCACCATATGTAAACCACCTGAGGTATGTGGTATTCATGTATGTGTTATGTGTCCATGTGTATGTGTATAGACCTATACAGTCAGCCCTCCATAACTATGGGTTCTGAATCTGTGGATTCAACCAGCCTTGGATTGAAAATATTCAAGAAAATAAAAAACTGTGTTTCTACTGAACATGTACAGATAGTTTTTTCTTGTCATTATTTCCTAAACAGTACAGCACAACAACTATTTACACAGCACTAACATTGTGCCAGGTATTATAATCTACAGATGACTTAAAATATATGGGAGGATATGTGTAGGTTATATGCAAATACTACACCATTTGTATGAGGGACTTGAGCATCTATGGATTTTAGAATCCAATGCAGGTCCTGGAACCAAATCCCCACTGATACTGAGGGAACATGAATCCACAAAACAAAATCATGTTTTCTAAGGCCCTAGACATTTCATGAAGTTTTTTAAAGTCTGGGGCAAAAACAACATGTTTTAACTAGTACTCATTAAATTCAAACCAAAGGATTGATTGAGAATCTACTATGTGCATGACTGGTTTAGGACCTCATGAATAAGAAAGAAGTACAGGTTAAACATCCCTAATCTCAAAATCCAAAACCTCGAATCCTCCAAAATCAGAAACTTTTCGAGTCCCAATATGACACTCAGTGAAGACTCTCATTGGAGCATTCTAGATTTCAAATATTTAGATTAGGAATATTCAATGAGTATGTATTCTGCAAATATTCCAAAATTAAAAAAAATCTGGAATCCAAAACACTTCTAGTTCCAAGCATTGCAAATAAGTTATACTCAACCTGTATATGTCATAGTCCTTGTGCTAAGTTTTACATATTTTTCAACCAATCATTGTATATATTAAAATTAAGTGAATTTAAATAAATAATTATATTTTCCAGAAAGCATTTCATTGCATCTTCAGCATTTCTATTGCAGGACACACTTATCTGAGGAAAATAAAAATAATTTACCTGGTTCAGTAAGTAAAGAATCTTTGTAAGAATATGCAAACATCTTCTTGGATTGATGGGAGTTTCATTGAATATACGAGCCTATGAAAAAAACAAAAAATGTTTTATTTTTCTACCTTTTCTATCACAGATTATAGCAAATCAACTTTAATAGTTTTTAATCACAGTGTCCAAAGAATATTGTGTATAGTTCTCAATTTACTAAAGTATCTGATAAATTATTAAATGCGGCCTTGATTTTCCATCCTATACTTTCTAACTCATTCCATTAGGATGACTACTTCAACTTTATGGGTTATACCAGTTAAATAAGGATCACAATGCTTATCTATATCATACTAACACAATGTGCTTTAGATAACTGATTTCAATAACTTTGCACTAAACACCTTTTCTTACATAAAATTCCCAACCCGTGGCAGAGCCTTCATGCCTTTGCATTTCTACAAGCTCTAAATTCTCCTGTGACAAGTAGCCTCTCTTCCTTTCCCTCAAATCTATATTTTCTAACCTCTGTTACGTTGCTTATTTTGGATGTTGTGATCATAGCAGCCCAGGAATTCTCTGCCCACCACTCTAAAGCAGAATAGAAAAGAAAGAGCACAAGATACTTCCCAGTCATACCTCCTGTAAAACAGCACTCTTCTCCAGATGCTGGAAAGGGTTGGAGCCACTACCTATTTATAAAACAAAAAATGTCTTGAATAGCAGCTGTCCTACACAAACGTATATACTTTCCAGAGAAGGGTATTGAATACTTGGGAGGTGATCACTGGGATATCACAGTGATAATCATTGCTACCATGCATACAAACTGAATGAAATCACTTTGACCCTGGCTCTGTCACTGCCATACTTGAAGAGCAGCGACTTCTTTTGCAGCAACCCTCTCCAAAATGAGTGTCTTCTTTCCCTGCCCTCTTTTTCCATGAATGTTAAAAATGTGTCATTTCCACGACAACGAAGATTAATGAGATTGTGGCAGGGTGCTTTTGATTTCCTTAGGCACTATTTTGTGTTTCTAGCACTTGAGAGGCAGAAACGAAGTTTCCCAGAGAATCATGCAGACGTAAAGCTGCAAGAGGCCGTGGAGGTTGACTAACCCAACCCTCTCTCACACTATGGGAGCTGCTACCAAATACTGAGAATTTTTTCTTTTTGAGGCTGCTTGGCATTTTCTTCATTTGCTCTGGACCAAAGATGGGTATCAAGACGCAGGTCACTTATGGACGCCTGAGATTCATCGAGCTGTGTCCCACGGGAGAGTCTTGCCCCGGGCAACCGGACAGAGCCAGGGGCCCCAGGAAAACTATAAGGTACCAGGAACCTGAATGTTCCTCCACACACACCCTGTGCCGTCGACCCCAGCCCCGGGAACAGGGTGCTCCCACTCGGGGTCTGACCCTACCAGCACCCCTTGCCGCGGAGACGCGCGCAAGCCCTCGGCCCCTATCGGGGGCCGGCGCGCAGGGGCGGAGGCGGGTCCGAGGGGCTGCGCCGCGGGAGGGGCGGGGTCGGGGCGCGGGCGGGCGCCAGGGCGAGAGCGCGCGGCCGGAGAGAAGGCTCTGGCGCCCGGGGGAGGGGCTACGGGCAGGCCCCGGGCGGCCGCGAGGGGAGGGGAGGGGCCGGCTCCAGCTCCGGCCCCCTGGCACAGAGGCGCCCACGCCCCCAGCCCCGCCGGCCAGAAAGCAGGTGGCGGCGGGCGGGGGAAGGGGCGCCCCGCGACTGAGGGTGGGCCTCGGAAGCCCCGCGCGTACCAGACTCCTCGTCCTTCTTGTCGAATTTTTTAATCATCTTGGACGACTTCCCAGCGCCCAGACCCACCGCAACCGTCCCAGGCGCCGCAGCGGGCGAGCGGAAGAGGCTGCAGGAAGGCCGGCCCCGCGCTCTCACGCCGGTTGGGCCGCCGCGCCGTCACTCGGGGCCAAGGCCCGCCCTCCCCGGCCGCCCTCGGCTCCCCCGGGACGCAGCCACGCCTTCTCCTTCTTCCGCGGCCCGGCCAAGGCTTAGGCGCTACCCGCCCGGCCGGCGACCCGGGAGCCCACGCTGGCGGCAGCAGGAATGTGGGTTTATTTCATTGGCGACTTATGCGGACCCCTCAGTCTCAGAAGAGCGAGGCGGGAAGCCTGAAGGGTCTGTGTTCACCCAGTGACCGTGGCCTTTTTGATTATCCACTGCGGGGCCCTCCCGTTGCGGAAGGCGCTCTCCCCGGGCGCAGTTCTGGTGGGCATCTCTTCCAGGAGCGATGCGAGTGTCAGTGGTTCCTGAATCACCTTGGAAATCAGCCTTTCACTCGCTAACTTCTTGGAGGCTACAACAAAGCACAGGCACTCTGGTGAATGTGGCTTTTCAAAAGTACTCGAAGGATGCTTAGTGTGAAACGTGAAGGAGACCACTTGGAGGGACCAGAGACTGGTCTTTAAAAGAGGGTAGATTTTGGACTGTGGACTACCACTCCCTACCTACTTTATAATTTTGGATTCCTTCATTTTATCAAAATCCGGTGTAAAACACATTGCCAGTTTAGAGCCCTTGTTCAATCCTGCTTCTTTCAATGATTCCATCTGAATCCATATTGACACTTAAGAAACTCTTTCTGAGTTAGCGTGGATTCATTCGTAATTCATGTTCCTCTTTTTCTCAGAGTGTATGCTTGGCTTTCTGTTCTCTTGTCTAAGAGTGTGGCTAAGAAACTTTGCCTGCCTTTGGCTTCAGTGGCATTACTGTTTAGAAATGTAAATTAGGTCTATATTCAACAGGTTCGTGCCCCTGCAAAATTAGAGAAATTCTAACCTAGATTACAGTCTACATCCTAGAAAAATTATTTCCCTTAAATATAGGTTTAGGATGAACTGTTGATATCCTGCATATGGTATCATTTAAGATTTAACTCTGACTTGACTAAGTTGTACTATTAACTATTATGTTTGCTTTATGTGGCTTATAAAGTTCAATTCATACTTTGTAGGTGGCGTTTTCCTTGAAGGAAATAGAAGTCTGCACTTATTTATTCTGAGGGTGAAAATGAACAGGCTTTGGGGAAGGAAACATCCTCTTCCTCTTCCTTGACTCAAGGGTACTGGTAACCTAGGCAAAGACAGCTGAGAGATAGGCTGAGATAGGCTGAGAGATTCCCAAGAATGGGTAATGCCCTGGAGACCTGCTGGGAAGTAGAAGGACCTGAGTTCAGATTTGAGGCTGACCCTAAGACTAGCCCCTTGTAAAGCAAGATAAATCATTCTCTGCTGTTACTCAGTTTTTCTGGATCTCTATGAAGTTTTGTCTAATACTGCAGGTTGTTTTTAGCTGTACAATATTTAGGGAGTTAAGAGCAGCAGGAGGTGGAAGTGGAGTGGGACGTGGTGACAAATAGGTATTGCAGGAGCAGAGAAGCCTGAAGAAGCCATTTAAGGGATGGTATGTTACGGACCCCAGGCCTCTGGTATCAGGACTATTTGAACTGAGGATGGCTGGCAAAGTGGTTGAGCAATCACTACGATGGCTCTGTGGGACAGGCAAGGAGACTTTAGTGAGTTTTAGAAATTGCTTGAGGAGAGAAACCTAGTAGGAGAAATGGACCTTATCTTAAAACCATGTGCTGGTGAAGTCTGAGTACCCATCAATTATATGTCTAATACACAAATGTGTACTCAGTGCTCCGAAATTCTTCAGTGGGTCCAAACTGCCTACTGGATAAAACCCAAACTCTTATTTAAATATTTAAGACATCGTTGTGGTATTTTTGGTTTTGTTATTGTTGTTTGTTAGTTTGTTTGAGACTGAGTCTCCCTCTGTTGCCCAGGCTGGAGTGTAGTGGCATGATCTCGGCTCACTGCAACCTCCACCTCCTGGGTGCAAGTGATTCTCCTGCCTCAGCCTCCCAAATATCTGGGATAACAGCCACACACCACCACGCCTGGCTACATTTTTTTGTATTTTTAGTAGAGACGGGGTTTCACCATGTTAGCCAGGATGGTCTCCATCTCCTGACCTCGTGATCCACCCATCTTGGCCTCCCAAAGTGCTAGGATTACAGGCATGAGCCACCACACCTGGCCATTTGTTTGCTTTTCAGACAGGGTCTCACTCTGTTACCCAGGCTGGAGTGCAGTGGCACAATCACAGCTAACTGCAGCCTTGAACTCCTAGGCTCAAGCTACCCTCCTTCTGCAAGCCCCCCAAGTAGCTCACACTACAGGGGCATGCCACCACATCCTGTTAATTTTTTAACATTATTTTTTGTAGAGACAGGGTCTCACTATGTTACCCAGGCTAGTGTCAAGCTCCTGGCCTCCAGCAATCCTCCGGCCTCAGCCTCCCAAACTGTGGGGATTACAGATGCACCCACCCTCTCAAGGCCTTTTATGATCTGTTTCATCTCTTTCACATATTGAAAATGCTATTATTGGTGCTTGATAAGTGTCTAACACTAGTAGGAACCCTAGAAATATGTTAAATAAATGGTAATATGTGAGGAGGATTCTCATTGTACCCTCTGCCACGCAACCCTATTCCAAGCCCCTCCCCATCCCCTACCCCAATCCCAGAGACTTTTTGTACCTCTAAGACACACAGACTTATCCTTTGGACCTTTTAGAGCAGTTTTTCCTCAAAGTATAATATGCATACCACTGGGTGGTTCTAGGTGGTACATAAACATTTTAAAATTTAATTGTTATAAATTTGACTTACGTGTTTCAGAAAAATGTATAATTTGTACATCAAAACCATGATGTCAATGATATAGTATTAATTAGGACAAGAATTTTTAAAAAGTATTTTGAAGAAAAATGCTAAGTAAATAATAGAGCAAATAATACATCAATATGGCAAAAACTCTTAAAGTGGTAGGTGATGTAGCTTAGGAAACACTGCTAGAGCTTTCTTGAAATTTGAGGATTTAAACAGGGTGCAAAGCTTTGTACCTCCTGAGCCTCTATTTGTTATTAGCTTCCATGCTATAGGGAGAAATAGTCTCCACAACTACGAGAGAAGCCAGTTGGCCACATCTATAATCCTCATGGATTCTAGCTCTAGCCCACATCTCAGTCCAGTAAGCCTTTGCTTTGGAAGAGAGGAGCTTACCATCTTTCCTCATCTCTCTCTCATGGACTGGAGCAAAGGTGAGCTGAGGGTACATTTTTTTCTGTGTCCTCAAAGCGTAGACTTTTGAATACTTCCCTTCGCTCTTGAAATCATTGTCGGTGGAAAACCTTAACAAAGAAAGTTCTTTTTTTAGTAGATGCTAGGGTAGGGGATTCATGGAACCATTTACTTTATTTTATTGATTTATTTTGAGACAAGAATCTCATTCAGTCACCCAAACTGGAGTGCAGTGGCGTGACCTCAGCTCACTGCAACCTCTACCTCCCAGGTTCAAGTGATTCTCCTGCCTAAGCCTCCCAAGTAGCTGGGATTACAGGCACTTGCCACCATACCCAGCTAATTTTTGTATTTTTAGTAGAGACAGGATTTCACCATATTGGCCAGGCTGATCTCAAACTCCTGACCTCAACTGATCTGCCCACCTTGGCCTCTCAAAGTGCTGAGATTACAGGCATGAGCCATCATGCCCAGCCCCACCATTCACTTCAAAGTTAGCTACATTCTCAGAGAGGACAAGGCAATGACAGGAGGCTGTTGATTGGTGCCAGGCAGGAGTATTGTTCCACCGCAAGAGATGTTTCTGAACTTAGCACTGTAAACCTTTGAAGGAACTCCAGAATCTTCTTTCTCCTCTCTAAACTACACATAGGCTGCTCTTGTAAGTAGTTTCAAATAAAACCACTTTTGTATAACGTGTTCTCATAACACATTATTCCTATGCTATAGCGCCTAACTTGCACTGAGGCTACTTCTTTTTTTTTTTCTGTTTCTTCAAAGCACAGACCTTGGAATATTTCCCTTCAATCATGAAACCATTGCCAATGGAAAACCTTAGTTTTGCATGACTGTTTCTCTTTCATTAGAGTGTGAATGAGGTTAGGGTCATGTAGGGAAGTCATGTCTTATTATCAGTGTACAACCAAAAAATATGTCCTTAAATTGTACAGCGAAGAACCAGTAACATGAACAGGGAAAAGATAGGAAAGAAAGTGAGTACAAGAAGAAGGAAGACTTCACCTAAACCATTGTTCTCGTGTGGATGTGGGATCGTCCGACAGTATCAAAGGGAAAATTGGTTTCAGCTTAGATCTTAACTTTTTTTTCTGAGGCATGAAGGGCAGCCAGGGGTTCTCAGTGGGTTTGTGCTGATGATGACTTTCCTGTAGGGAAACAAAAGGAAAGAAGAGTGAGAGATAGTAAGCTGAGTCCTTGGGGATTTAAAGGCTGGACCGAGTTCCTGGACTAAGTTCTAATTCCCTTACAGTGATGCAACAAAACCTGTCAGAGGGGGAAGTGGGAACTCAGAAACCAGAATCAAGAAAGCAGTTCCCTGGAAGGGAAAACACACATTTGGTGTTCTTGTCCAAAGCCTGGTCAGTTTCCTAAGTAATTGATTAAATTTGCTTACTGGACCTTGGAAGCGAATGGCAGAGAAAGTTACCTAGCCTGGGGAAGGATTCAAGCAACGAACTCCTTGGGAAACTAAACATTTGACAATAAATTGGGAAATAGATCAATGGGACTCTAACCTTCATTTCTTGAAGATGGCTGCCTCCTCCACATTCCATTCTCCTTAATCAGAAGGCCATGGAATGGGATGTTGTGAGGTAATAATTATATCGTTACTAAAGGTCATAGAATCAAAGTCTTTCAGAAAGAATCTTAAGTCATCCAGTCTGTTTGTTTGACACTCGGCCCCTCCATAATCTCACTATCAAGTGGTCAATCTTTCTACACCTAAAAAAAGAAAAAGATTTCATCTTTGATCAGCCATTAGATTTCTCCCTGTAACCTTTACCCTGTAGTCCAGACAGAACAAATCTAGCCTTTCTTCCTTAAAGTCCTTAAACATTTTGAAGAAATCCATGACATTCCTCCTAAGCTCTGTCTCTTCTAGGCTAAACATTGCCAATATCCTGAACTTTTCTTCATACGACATGGCTTTGGGTTCCTTTTTTTTTTTTTTTTTTTAATCTAATTTGAGAAAGCTACAATTCATGTCCTAATGTGTGGCAATCTGAAACAAAAACAATATGTCAGGTATAGTAATTGCATGGCATAGATACCCTGACCCCATGAAAGTGTCTGTTCAAAAGTCAGCTGACTGTGGTGGCTCACTCCTGTAATCCCAGCACTTTGGGAGGCCAAGGCGGTGGATCATTTGCGGTCAGGAGTTCGAGACCAGCCTGACGAACATGGTGAAACCCCATCTCTACTAAAAATACAAGAATATTAGCCTGATCTGGTGGCAGGCTCCTGTAGTCCAGCTACTTGGGAGGCTGAGGCAGGAGAACTGTTTGAATCTGGGAGCTGGAGGTTGCAGTAAGCCAAGATTGTGCCTCTGCACTCCAGCCTAGATGACAGAGCGAGACTCCATCTCAAAAAAAAAAAAGAAAAACAACAATGAAGAATCATCAATTCTGAGAGCCTTCTTAATGGCACTAACATTGCCACTCACATTCATCATATTCCATCTCCTTATCTTGCTTTGTCATGGCATTTATCACATTATACGTTATCTGTGTGATCATTTAGTTGTTTATGGTCTGTCTAAGTCACTAGAATTTAGCTTCATTAGAGCAAAGAATTGGTCTTAGTCATTAATATATCCCTAGCATCCCTAATAATGCCTGGCACGTAGTAGGTGTTCAATAAACATTTGTTGAATAAATGACCAAACTAACATATTGAGCTTTTGCTATCAGAATCTTAAAGCCTTTTTGTCTTTAATACTTGCTGTTTCTGAACCATGTCTTTTCAATTCTGAACTTATTCTCTTTAAGCTTTTCTATTAGGCTGGTGTAAAAGTAATGGCAGCTTTGTAATTATAATGGCAAAAGCTGCAGTTACTTTTGCACCAACCTAATTATTTTAAGGAAAAGAAACCCATTTGAGTCATCTTAAATAATAGGTGTTCTACTGTACGAGCACATCTGCCTAGGAGCTAAGATATAGATAACTATCCAGCCATAAGAAGAGCAAAAACTTAGCAGAGCTGGACCTCATAGCAGAAAAACAGTAACTGGAAAGTTATTTGGAATCCAAGATGGCACTAGCAAAGGACCACCGTCTTAACGCAAACATATTACTCACATGTTTCTCCTATTTTCTTCCTATCTGCTTCCTTCTCCTTCCTCTACCTTGTTCAGTCCTCACCTTTATTCCATATATATATGGGTTTCTTCTACCTATAGCTTCGCTTATTCACTTCTACTTGCTACTTCCTGTAACTTCAGCCCTCCTATACTCTACTTCATGGCTTCCTCATCACTATCTTTCTTCCTCATGGTTTGAGTCTTTTGTAGCCCCACTCCATGTCCTTTTAGCTTTCGTTCCTACTGCTTCAGTCTTTTCATTTCTCAATTCAGACCTGGAAACAAGAATCTGATTAGCTCAGGGATTCTGGGTGTTGGTAGGTTGGTTGGCTTTTGTTTTGATTTGGGTTTTTTGTTTTTTGTTTTTTTTTGAGATGGAGTCTCACTCTGTGGCCAGGCTGTAGTGCAGTGGCACAGTCTTGGCACACTGCAACCTCCCCCTCTTGGGTTCAAATGATTCTCCTTCCTCAGCCTCTCGAATAGCTGGGCCTACAGGTACGCACCACCACACCCAGCTAATTTTTGTATTTTTAATAGAGATGAGGTTACACCACGTTGGCCAGGATGGTCTCAATGGCCTGACCTTGTGATCCGCCTGCCTCAGCCTTCCAAAGTGCTGGGATTACAGGCATGAGCCACCATGCCCAGCCTGTTTTGGCTTTAGGGTACCAGTCCACATCACAGGTCACCACCCAGCCTATGAATTTTGCTTTGCTGGGCCTGATATCCTCCTCTGGTCTCAGCTAGGAGTGCGGACAGGGCCACATTTGTACAAAATAGGATCTCTTAGGACATTGCCTTACTCAGGAGACTGTGGTAGGGTCTGTTTCACTTAGAAGGGGCTGTTAGTATAATAATCATTATAATAGATATATTTAGTACATTCCACAAGTTGCCTACTAGAATTCATGCTGTTTCTGGATGCATGCCCAGGTATAGCAAAGAATGCTTTTCTTACATATGATCCTAGATTTATAAAAGATTATCACATTTGTCCAGCAAGGGAAGGAAAGGATGCTGCATGAATTATTAAAGAGGCATTGTGGATATCAGATGTTTCAATCTTATTGGGCTTGTTCCAGTCGGATAGCCCCATAAAATAATCATTGTGCCAGTCTTTGAGCCTTAATTCTGTCCATTAATACAACTTGGAGCCTTAACTCTGTTTGTTAATACAACTTGGAGCCTAACTCTGTCCATTAATACAATTTGACAGTACCACAATTTGCTCATCAATATGATTAGGTTCTGCACCTGAACCGGAGGGTTCACAAAGTTGGCAGGCTATTAGAAGAAAGCTCTTCCTGCACCCAGTTTATATGATACCTTTGTATTTCCTTCTGCCCATGAAGCAGGGCAATCCTAGCCTGGCATTCATCCCTTTCCCAATGTATGGTCCACCCATGTCATGGGAAACTACCACTGAGCTTACCTTCAAAGGGCACAAATTCTGAGACCCAAAAGACCACAGGCAGTAAATTCATTAACTCCTTTGTTAGTATATATCATTGGATATCAGCATTTCATCTTCCACTTGGAGGGGAATCTCTCACAGCCAACCATCTAGCAACTAAGGAAACACTAACTCCAAATTCACCACATTTTATTATAAGGGTCTCACTTGGGTAATCCCATGCCCCGCATTAACTTTCTACTAGAATCCTTTGTTTGCACTTTCACTTAACTCATTGATTTAATTTGTTCTTGTTAAATTAGACCTGCTCTCAAGGCTGTCAAGACCTCTTTTAGATTTTGATTCTTAAATATCTCTTAATGCAATTTTCTCTACTTCCTATGCTAATGATTTAGTTCAAGTCTTCAGTATCTCTCACCTTGACTACTGTAATATCATAACTTATCTTTCTTAGTTTTGTCTCTTCCACAACTACTAATGCACCTTTCTTCAACCACCAAAATAGTCTTTCTAAAGTGCAAATTTGATCACATCCTTTTGTCTCCTGCCATTTACTCTTTTGTTTTGTTTCGTTTTGAGGTGGAGTCTTGCCCTGTTGCCCAGGCTGGAGTACAGTGGCACTATCTCGTCTTGCTGCAACTTCCACCTCCAGGTTCAAGTGATTCTCCTCCCTCAGCCTCCTGAGTAGCTGGGACTACAGGCATGCACCACCACACGTGGCTAATTTTTGTATTTTTAGTGGAGATGGGATTTCACCATGTTGGCCAAGCTGGTCTCAAACTCCTGATCTCAAGTGATCTGCCTGCCTCGGCCTCCCAAAGTGCTGGGATTACAGGCATGAGCCACCATGCCCCACCCTGCCATTTATTCAATTACATCTTCCTGAATGCACCTCATTTTCCCATGTCTCCATCCCTTTGTACTTTCTTCAGATTTGATATTTTCCTGTTCTTTTGTCATGGGTCACCTCCCTACTCACTGTCTTTTTCCCAACAGAAATACTGTATCCTGCATTACTTCTGTATCTTGTATATTCTTCTATTACTTTTACATATCTCATTTATGGATCTCTCTCCTATTAGACTCCAGGTTCCTTCAAGATAGAGACTGTCCTGTAATCATCTTGCTTATTGTATGCTCAGCAATTGCTTATTGAGTAGAATTTGAACTTCTTTAGTCTATAAAGGAGTTTCAAAGGTTTGGCTAGTGTGGTGGTAATTCCCTCTTCTGAAACCTGAAAGCAATGTGTATTAAAGCATTATCCTTTACTCCTTTCCCATTTAGATATCCATCGCTGTTTTTAGTCCTCATTTCCTGACTCATCTTTAACTACTTTGTTCTTAACTAGAAAGTCAGTGGCCAGTCTACCCTTTGTTAGTTACAAATTAATTATCTTTGGTCAAAGAGGGGCACTTTCCAATGAAGACCCCATTTTCTCCCTGCAACGAAGTTTCAGCACCCAATTTATTGAATTCTGATTCCCAGGTTCCCTAGATGCTGTTTTGTGAAGCATACGGCCAGGAAGGAATAAGAAGGAAGAGATAGGCCAAGTGCAGTGGCTCATACCTATAATCCCATCAAATGATTCTGGAGAATCACTTGATAATTATTTGTGCCCTTTGAAGGTAAGCTCAGTGGTAGTTTCCCATGGCATGGGTGGACCATACACTGAGAAAGGGATGAATGCCAGGCTAGGAGTGAGACCCCCGCCTCTACAAAAATAATTTTAAAAAAATTTAGTCGGGCATGGTGGTGCACACCTGTAGTCCCAGCTATTCAGGAGGTTGAGACGGGAAGATTGTTTGAGCCCAAGAGGTTGAGGCTGCAGTGAGCCATGATTGTGCCACTGCAGTCTGGCCTGGGTGACAGAGTGAGACCCTGTCTCAAACAAACAAACAAAAAAGGAAGAGGTAGTTTTCTGAGTACCATTCTCCATGTTAAGTTAGCCTCCTTCTCAAAGCTAACTCCTAATTCTCCAGGGTCCACATTTCGGGTGCCAGGAGACTTCTGCTTACCATGATCTCAAGCAGTAACTCCTTGGAAAAGTATTTTGATGCACTCTCCTTGTCTTGCTGGGTCATTGAGCAGGGAGGTGGGTTGTTGGTCATAATCAGTAAGGTCTTATCCTGGTCATACTCTGTTACTTTTAACATGAAGCTTGTGGTTTTCTTGTTTTGAGCCAGGAATTTCTGTAGCGCAGTGGCCTTTAAAGGCTTATAGTACTGGGCCTGAGCAGACAGAAAGGTTTCCAGAGAGGAAAAGAGATTAGGTCAATGGCAGGTTTAACAAATCATCTGGCTAATACTTTGCCTCTGTGGGGTAAGAACAGAAGCTAGACAAACTTGCTGCAAAATTTCTGGGGTTTTTTGTTTTTGTTTTTTTGAGATGGACTCTCACTCTGGTGCCTAGGCTGGAGTGCAGTGGCATGATCACAACTCACTGCAACCGAGACCTTCCAGGCCCAAGTGATTCTCCTGCCTCAGCCTCATAAGTAGCTGGGATTACAGGTACATGCCACCCTACCCAGCTGATTTTTTTGTGGGTTTTTTTGTTTTTGTTTTGTAGAGATGAGAGTTTTGCTGTGTTGCCCAGGCTGGTCTCAAACTCCTGGGCTCAGGCAATACACCCGTCTCAGCCTCCCAAAGTACTGAGATAACAGGAGTGAGTCATCACACACAGCCCTAAAATGTGCGTATCAGAAACTGTCTGAAGCTCTCAGTCCCTCTCTTCCCTTGAGGCATTCCCCTGAAAATACACTAAAGGTTTCCATGGTAAAAGGAGTTAGGAAATTTAATTCTTCCAACATAGTGGCGCAAACAGAAAAATTTCTATGTGGCTAAACCTAATTGGCCTCGTCTCTACGACTCTCTCTAAGGTGCGGGGTGGGGGAAAACCACCAGGGAACAAGTCTTGCTCAGGGAGTTCTTTAGGCATAGGCACAGCCAAGGGCAACACCCTTCCATGTTTATGTCTTCCCACACACCAACATTTCTCAGGCACAACCACATTCGCATGCATTCACAAGCACAACGTCAAAAAGGAAAATCAGTCATGAAAGACAGCCTGTCACTTAAGGTAGGGATGAAGAAGGAGCAGTCCCACTACATTTGCTTTTCTCTCAATAGGAGAAAGGCAGAGGATTAGAGGGGAAGGAAGTGAAAGGGAGACAGTGGATTATAAATATATATTTTTTTCTGACCATAATATGTTTTCTCAACTTAAAAAACTCAGCTGTGGGGATCCACTTCCTTCCCAGTTCTCGTCTCCCACTTTGCCACCCCAGTTCTCAGCACTGCGTCTGGCATCATAACCTAGCTGCAGCTCTGCCTGCCTGTCCCAACAGTATGCACACTCACAGAAGCTGGGGACACTTGGAAGCATTAGGGACACCTGCAGTGGGCATCTGCACCACTGCTGGAACTTCCCCTGAGAGATCCTGTGGGAACGCTTTTTCCACCTACCAAATTTGGATGGACTGTGTAATGCCGAAGGTTCTTTAGAACAAATTTCGATCTCCCAACTGCATCAAAAATCTAAAGACAATAATCAAAGTTAGTGGTTTGAAATTGCACCTATGCTAAACAGTATTCCATTCCTTACCTCACCGTAGTCTCGCCAGAGAACTGGTCTCTACCTTACACTAAGTGAGAAGTACAGTGTGCTTCAGATTCTGTACTCTGGGGTTTCTGGAACAAGGGCCCCAGCAAGGGAACCTGGATTCTAAGACCTCCTGACTGTGACGCTTGTCAGCGGAAATGGGGCCAGCCTTATGATACGTCAGGAAAAGCCGTTAGGAGGAAAGTAGACAAGGGCAGCTTCGGTTCAGACTGGGACAAATCTCTCCAAGGAGTCACCTCTTTGTTAGGCCTTTTCCATAGAGTTAGGAGTGAAATGAGGTGGAAATCAACATGGAGGACAAATCTTTAAAGAGAAAAGCAAGTCTCAAAAGGGCATTAACCTAAAAGTTGTGGGCACAAGGGAGCCCTAGGACCAACTCTGCCAACTGAACTGGGAGCTGACCTACTTACAGAGAGAGGAAGAAGCAGCGGGGCATGTTGCAATTTTGAACATCTCTGCAGTATGCAGTTCTTCCAGAAGTGTTGCAAAAAATAATTGAATTTTGGTAACACTTCTGTCTACCACTTTGCTTTTTTTTTTTTTTTGGCTGGCGGTAGTCCTGGGTGTTAGTGGATGGTTTGAGTGTCATATTTGGTAGTAGAGGAGCTGAGCCTCTTCCATTCCCTTTCTGCTGACCCAGTGTTCTTGCTTCTCCTCTTGCATAGCCCTGTCTAAGGATGAATCAAGGGGATAAGAACACAAGGAGATAAAAGCTCTGAATTATCTTCTTCTGGCTTGGCATAACCAGAAATCAAAAAAAAAAAAAAAGAAAGAAAAGAAGAGTACATCATAAACCTGTGTTTGGGTCAGCATTTCTTTTTCCTTTTCTTTTTTTTTTTTTAAAGACAGGGTCTTACTCTGTCCACCAGGCTGGAGTGCAGTGGCGCAAACATAGCTCACCTTGAACTCCCAGGCTCGAGTGGTCTTCCCACCTCAGTCTCCCGAACAGCTGGGTCTATAGGCATGCGCCACCACACCCAGCTATTATTTTTTATTTTTTGTAGAGATGGGGGTTTCACTGTGTTGACTAACTCCTGGGCTCAAGTGATCCTCCTGCTTTGACCTCCCAAAGTGCTGGGATTACAGGGGTGAGCCACCACGCCCAGCCTGGCTCAGCATTTCTAAAGATTGCCATACCTCCCCAATCAGATGGTGATATGGTAAGGTGGGTACAGAGAAAAGGGAACATGCACTGAAAAGTGAATAAGGCAAGAGGGCTAATGGAGAAGAGGGAAGCAGTCAGAATGGGACAGAACTGTGAGTTGAGAGGAGGCCCTGCTATGCTCCAGCAAGAAAAGGCCAGAAGTTGGCAATTCTTGGCAGTTGGAGAAGGAGCAGGAAGAAACGTAACAAAGCCACTTCACAAATTCCCTTAGAGAGCATGGGATGCACTATGGGATAGTGGGATGGATCCAAAGACTCAACCATTTAATTTTTACCACCTTATGGAATACTGAAATCCATTTATTGAAAACAAAAATATATTATGAAAAACCTGCTTCACCAAAATGAAATGTATGACATATTTAGAATCACAGAAGTTAGGAAAAACTCATTTGGGAGAAAGGTATGAAGACCTTTTCTTTTTTTTAAAAAAAAAAAAAAAAAAGAAAAACCTTTAGGGGGAAAGTCCATGGTGAAATGTTTTCACTCCTGAAGTTTTCTGAAGTATTGCATATTTGTTCCAAATTAGTCTCCAGCAGTTGACTAAACCTACAAGGTTGTCCAAATTGGAATGTGTTTTTAGTTTTGTCATGTTGAATTGTACTATCTGTGGCTGATTAAATAAAAGTTGGCCTGGAAAATTCACTTGAATATGGTAAATATGGAAAAACAACCAAGATAGTCAACGGAGTTTTGCTACAACAGGTAGCTGTAAAGTCTGCATAAGTTAGGGTGTGACACGCTGTTACTCCCGAAGATGTGTTTCTGCTTCCTGGATTTTATGCCCTGATTTGTTGCTAATGTGTCCTGTCCCTTCTTTTTTTGTGCTCTGTTTCTCTTTGATAACATTTGACAAGTTAACTTTGTTTTCTATATAATTTTTTACTCCTTTTTGCTTTTCAATAGGAAAGTTTGTGATACCCAACTTATTAGGTACACTAAGCAACTCCAAAGAAAAATTAAACATTGAGCACTTACTAACACTCCTCACCTCTTCACCATTGTCAACCATTCCTTTCTCACATTTAGCTGAGCTATATTCTGAAGTCTTTGGTTTGACATTTTGAAACCTGAAAAAGAGGCAGAACATCCGGTTGCATTTTCTGGCTCAGAGACCTAGCCTGCATGTTGTCAGTCTCCCTCAACAAAGTTTGGGAGCCTAACTCAGACAAGTCCAATTAAGGTGATCAGTAATTGACTATGTAGTTTAAAAAAAAAAAAAAAAAGACTCATTATCCAGCCTGCATGCTAGGGAAAAGCAAGACTTCAGTTTGAAGAGTTGAACAAGTGGGACCTTTTGGATGACTCAATGACATCCATTGGGTTGGTTTCTTCTAAAACAGGGATTTTAGATCATTCACAGAAGTGCTGTAATAGACTGCTTAAGGAAATTATTTTGGGCAGTTAGTGCAATACTCTTTAAAACTATCTACTATTTTGAATACTTACCTGCCTATTCTTGCACACGGAAATTGCCCTACCTTGCCAGTGATTGGCCAATGATTAGCCAATGAATCTGTGTGAAGGAATATCGTTAATGGAAACTCACAACTAAGTTTCCAATTCTTGTTGACCTTGCTTGGATTACTAGCTCTCATATCTTCCTAACCACATCTCTAAAGACTTCTTTTCTTATAACTGGGGTGGTAAAAAATAATCATCAATGGCAAATATTTCTGTACTCTGCTCATTTACTTACTTTTCCATCCCTCACCCTAATACCAATTATCTTTGTGGAAAAGTAGGGTGGAGCAGATTCTACTCTTTGCTATTCTTTTAAAACCATTTGCTGATGGAATATAATGTAAGATACTCATCAGTGAGATTTGGTTAATGATTAAGAGAAATAGCCTGCTTCCTCCTTGGAGATAGTTCCATTGTGGGGCTAAATTAGCTCAGAGTAAGAAGAATTCTGTAACTATCTCAGCTAGACCTCTCTCCTTTAAAAATGAGGATAGCAGAATAAGGACCAAAATAAAAGTAGAAATAGCCAAGCTATGTAGTTTGTAGGTCAACTGGCTATAACATACTACAAATACTCCCCAAATCCATGGTTAAATCTCATTCAAGGATGGCTACCTTCCATTGTTGCTGGCCACCAACTGCATTATTAACTCAGGTCAGAGGTCTTAAAAACAGTCCCAATTGGAGCAGGTGACCCATGATGAAGAGACCAAAATTCATCCCAACTTAATATCTTAAAATGTGTACCCTTTTAATATGTCTTATTGCATTGTTATCTAATAATTAGTAATACAGTATAATATTTATTGTAGCATTTTCAGAATGAAATGATACCTTTTAGGTATCTTTGATACCTAAAAGGAAGCACAGAATCCCAGATACTTTTCTTCATGGCCAATAAGGCATAGAGCTATATGAAAAGTGCTTCTTTAGCCCAACAGCATCTCTGGAACAAGCTGCTGCTTTCTTTTTGACTAAAGTTCCTCTTGTTGTTGCTTGAAATACAGACCAAGGTCTGGTTTTTGATCCAGGGACAACCAGTCAATTAAAATACGTGTAATCAGGGTCTACTCTGTGACCAGCACCATTCAGAGTGCTGTGGGCCATGCAATAAGTTAATATAAAGTGGTATTTATAATTTAGTTGGGCAAATAAGACTACATACTTGGTTTGTCTCTTTTGGCTCATTGCTGTTGACTGCTAGTTGGCCAACCCAAGGCAGTTATTCACCCGAGGCCAAATTCAGTGTCTCTGAATAGTCCACGTTCTGCAGGGGGTTCGATTCAATCCAAATATTCTTTCCTTAGCACACAGTGTGTGCTCAGCCCCATTCTTGAGCCTGTATGGGAAACAAAAAAAGACCGATAAGTGCTATTAAACACGTAGAAAATGCACAAGACAACATGTTGATGCTTGCCCTTAGAAATTAAGTTTATTTGTCAAATGGGGGGAGATGGGAGAAGGTGATTATCTGATGTAAAACAATAATGACAAATACATTAGGTAAGTCACTTTATCTCTTGGAGTCTCAATTTCTTTACCTGCAAAATGGAAAGTATTAAGTAAATAATTTCAAGGTGACATTCTAAATCCATGATAGTGATGAGACTTACCTATAAGAAGATCTGAAATAAAATTAATTCACGTGTCCATAGTAGGTGAAAGGTGGAAAAGCGTCCATCTTTCAATTTTCTACTCTCAACAAAGCCATGCTCATCCATAGATTAGGCCTGAAAAGCTGGGGAAAGGGTGTGTATATACTGGAGGTGGAGGGATTGCTATACTTTTTGATATAGAACAAGCTGATAAGGTAGAACCCACCATTTAGAGAAAAGAAAGGTCAAAGAGACTTGGAGATGTTTCCTAAAGGATGTGGAGCTTGAGCAGAACCTCAAAGGATGGTGTATGAAGTAGTCTAATTGGAAGATTATTTGTTGTTGTTAGGCAGGAAGAAAAAAAGCAGGTAGGTAGCATGGAATCACATTATAGGAACCTTGACAATTAAGTAGAGCTTTGAAAAGACCTCCATCAGCCCAAGTTCCTATGAAGCTCACAAGTTTAGTGGAAAGGTCTGTGTTACTGTTGATAGTATTGATAGGTGATTGTTTAAGGTTTGTTTGTGTTTAGGGTTTAGAGATTGTTAGAGTTTAGGGTTTATGTCTTGATGTTAGACAAACCCTAAAGATGATTGTCTATAGTTTACTTTTTTAAGTTAATTAATTAATTAATTAATTTTTGAGACACAGTTTTGCTCTGTCGCCAGGCTGGAGTGCTGTGGCGCTATCTTGGCTCACTATAGCCTCGGCCTCTCTGGCTCAAGCAATTCTCCTGCTTGAGCCTCCTGAGTAGCTGGGACTACAGGCATGAGCTGCCACACTTGGCTAATTTTTTTGTATTCTTAGTAGAGACAGGGTTTCACTATGTTGGCCAAGATGGTCTTGATCTCCTGACATTGTGATTCACCTGCCTCAGCCTCCCAAAGTGCTGGCATTACAGGCATGAGCCACTGCCCCAGCCTTGTCTAGAGTTTATGACAAGACTGAGATAAGCCCTAAAAGTTCCCTTCTAGGGAAATAGACTAATAAGCTTTTTACCCTTTTCTCACCTTTAGTTTTTCTGGAATTGTAAGTCCAGTTTATGTGTATGTTGAAACTAAAATAACAATGAGCTGTCAAATTGGGCAGTATAAGTCGGGTTGTTAGCCTGCAACCCAGGCTGAAAAACAAATCACACAAACACAAAAAAACTACATTCAAAATAAGAATGGAAGAATCTGGTGTACACTACCTTCAAGAACATCAGGAAATCACAGTTTGGTGAGGAAGGCAAAAAGCTTTGGCTTGGGAACTTTCCATTTTGAAAATATCTTAATTGTTCTTTTCTGGATTCTGGAGAGGGAATTTGTGATGAGCAGGCAATCTAGAATGCTGAGGTGTTCTATGTTGGAGACAGAGAATGAAAAGGCCAAAGACAGACATACTTAAACAAAATCTGCCAATCTCTTATTTTTTTCAGCCTATGACTTACACACACACACACAAACACACACACACACACCCCTTCACCATGCCTTAATTTACCTCTACCTAAGCCAACGTTTTCACTGCATTCTTCAAATGCAGTGAGCATTTTTTCTTATTCCTCATACTTAAAATGCTTTCCCCAATCTCTTCAGCCATTTGAATCTTCTTTCTTTAGGTTACTACTCAGGTCATTGCTCTAAAGAGATGACTTTCTAGATGAATACAATCCCAAATTCCAGACTATAGGCATTGGGTTTTGTGCATATCATGGTATAGTAACTTGTAGTTCTATTTGCACTTCTCTTATGTGTGGGTCTTGTCTGCCTCCTAAGCTGTGAGCCTCTTAAAAGTGGAAATGTAAATTTTAGACATATCTGTGCCCCCCTCCAAGTGATTTGCATCTCATGCATTCAAAGCTAGTATTTGCTTATTTCAATATATTTGCTCAACATTTATGACATAGTAGACCCTCTCCTAGGTGATGAGAACAAAATATAAATCAGATGTAATTCTTGAGCTTCTTAAGGAGCTCACAGTTTAGCCAGGAAGAGAGACGAAGAAACGGTTGATTGCAGCAGAATGGAATGCCAAATTAGATCTAAGTTTAGGGTACTATGGAAGCAAAAAGGAAGGGGACTTAATCTAGACTGAGAAAAGACTGGGAGAGATTTAGAACTATTGCCTAAACTGAGCTGGGGACGATGAGTGTGAATTAACCAGGTGATGAGAGGACAGACATTTGAGAAAGAAGGAGAAAGAAGCACGGGGGAAGGGTAGTGAGCGGTGAGACTATAGAGGTAGACAGGATCTAAATCCTAAAATGAAGTATTTGATAGAAAGTTTGTAGGTCATTCTGAGTCATGAAGAGCTATCAAGAGATTTTAAATGAGATATAATCTCCTTATTGAACAATATATATTTTAGAAATATAAAAATAGTGTTATATGAACTACAGATTGGAAATACGCAAAGAGGTCTTTCAGAAGTCTATGACAGTACTGAGGAGGGGCTGAGAAATTATAAGGGCCTGTAGCCATTATAAATTAGTGCCATACACTCCTGTCTCCTAGCCCTGGATGATTTTTCAAAGGTGGCCAACCACATTATACAAGGAATTTGAAAGTTTGATAAAGACACGCAGAGCTGAAAGATGATTGCACCTGAGTTACCTCATGTGGTATCCCAGGCTGGAAGACTGTGCACACTCTACCTTCTGAGGGCCCCAGAGTTGCCCCAGATCTAGTCCTTCCTGAAGCATGGCTATTCAATTTTCCCTTCAGTTCTGTGAGTTTTCCTAATATTCTTTCAAACAAATCCTTTTTTCCCTCAGTGTTTATTTCTGTGGTTTATGAGCAAAAAACAAACAAACGTTAAACTAATTTAGGCGCTGAAGCAGGGTGTCCAATCTTTTGGCGTCCCTGGGGCACACTGGAAGAATTGTGCTGGGCCACACATAAAATACTCTAACAATAGCTGACAAGCTAAAACAAATCACACCAAAAAAAACCAAAAAAAACAAAAAAACAAAAAACAAACAAAAAAAAACCTCATAATGTTTTTGAATTTGTATTGGGCTGCATTCAAAGCCATCCTGACCACATGTGGCCTGTGGGTCATAGGTTGGACCAGCTTGCTCTAAAGCAAGGTAGTGGCGGTGAACAGGGATAAAAAAGGATACCTGAAAGATGTTAGGAGGGTAGAATTAATAGAACTTGGTAACTAGTTGAATACGTGGGCTATGGACTATAATCACATTTTTAGCTTGGTTACCTGAGTCAATGGATGTGCAAGTTACCAAATTAGAGAATAAAGGAAATGGAGCAAGTTTGGGGGATAAATGATGAATTTTGTTTTTGGTCTGTTGAGTATGAGGCAGATGTGAGGATATCATCTAGTAAGTGGTTTAAAATATGGGTCTGGAGCTCAGGAGGGACACATTTGGTACTATAGATTGAATTTTTATATCCCTTGTCTCCCTAAATTCATGTTGACACTGAGTCCCTAATGATGAGGGTGTTAGGATGTGGAGCCTTTGGGGGTCCATTAATGCCCTTATAGAAGAGCCTTCAAAAGCACAACTTTGCTCCCTCTCCTATGTGAGGACACAGCAAAAAGCAGGTCCTCACCAGACACCAAAGGTGGCAGCACCTTGATTTTGACTTCCCAGCCTCTGGAACTGCGAGAAATAAATTCCTATTGTTTATAAGCCACCCAGTTTATGGTATTTTGTTATAGCAGCCTGAACAGACTAAGATATTTGGGTAGAATTATACATTTGGAAGTCAGCCTCAAGTGTTATGTGCTAATTGAAGCCCCTGGACTAGAACAGATCAAGTAGAAAAAATGGTGGACTAACAAGAGACTCAAGCACAGAGCCAAGCCCCAGACTACACAAACATCTGAGCAAGAGCATCATAAATAAATTTTGTGAAGACCACAGAAAAGGAGTGGCCAGAGATTGGAGGAGAACCAGGAGGAAGTGGCCACAGATGGGATGATATCATTGGAAGGGATGCTATTATGAAAAAAGAAACAAACTCTTTAGCTTAAGGCAGCAACTTTTGAAGGTATAGAAAAAGATTAAAACTTGCAAAAACAAACAAAAGCTTAATAAGCAATCCAATGCTGCCAATTATAAAGCAGATAAATCTAGACTGAAAAAAACCTACAGGGCTTAGGGGTGAGAAGGAAGCTCTTCAGCAAGTCTCTTCTGTCTCACTCTCCCACTTTGCTTTCTCTCAAGAAGGAAATTCTTATCACTGTTTGGGCTTTGGTTCCTTGGGGGAAGTCTCTATATACTAAAAGTTCATATAATTGGGTTTGGCTTGCTTCTCTGTTCAGGCTCTCACCCTCTACTCTCCTTGTTCTCCTTTCCTCCTTTCCTGTGTCAGCCCAATTGAGAAATTCAGGTTTGAATTCAGAGTGGAGATGGGTCCACTGGACTCTGTACTTTTTGTGAGTAGCTTCCTCTGACAGTAATTTACCTACTGTCTCTCAGCTTTAAGCCTCCCATTCTAAACTCCACTCTGAGATGCAAACTACATTTCCCACATCCCCTTGCCAATGGACTTCCTGTTAAGTTCAGCCAAAAGGAGAGGCTAGTGGGAGATCGGAGGAATAAAAAGGAATAAAAAGTCCTCCAGGTTTTCTAGTTCTTATCAGCATCTCTGTGGCAGAGGCAGTTGGCCCATCTGTAGTATTCCTTAGTATTTTAGGTATTGCTGCCAGTTTGCTTTTTTTTTTTGGAGATGGAGTCTTGCTCTAGCATTCAGGCTGGAGTGCAGTGGCTTGATCCTGGCTCACTGCAATCTCCGTCTCCCAGGTTCAAGCAATCCTCCTTGCCTCTCAGCCTCCCAAGTAGCTGGGACTACAGGTGTGCACTACCATACCTGGCTAATTTTTGTATTTTTAGTTGGGATGGGATTTTACCATGTTAGCCAGGCTTGTCTCAAACTCCTGACCTGAGGTGATCCACCTTCCTCGGCTGCCCAGAGTGCTGGGATTACGGGCAAGAGCCACTGTTGGAAACAGATGCTCAGTGCCACAAAGAAAAATCAGCACTGAGACAAAGGATCTTTCAGCAAGACAATTTTACGTTCTGTAGAAAGGGTGCTCCCATTAGCTATCTTGCCACGAGAGTACAACAAACAAAGGAAAAGCAGACATATTTATCTTTTACACATTTGGGGTTGTCCTTACTGCTGTGTCT